CTCCTGTGGGCAGCATATAGTTGGGTCTTTTTTTTTGTCATCCATCTGGCCACCCTGTGCCTTTTGATTGGTAAGTTCAATCCATTTACATTTAGGGTGATTATTCACATGTAAGTATTTACCACTGCCATTGTATCTTTTGCCTTCCGATTATTTTGTTCCTCCACTGTTTATTTTTCCTTCTGCTCTTATCTACTTTCTAAGTTGGTGGTTTTTCATAGTGATTTTGATAGTCTTCCCTTTTGTCATGTTTCATGTCTCTACTCCAGATTTTTGCTTTGTGGTTACCATTAGGTTTACATAAAATATCTCAGATAAATTAACCCTTTTTCTGCTGATAGCAATTTATCTTCATTTGCCTATAAAGTTTCCATCCTTTTACTACTCCCCTTTTGTATTTTTGATGTCACAAATCATCTCATTTTTCTTTTTTTTTTTCCCTAGCTGAGGAAGATTTTCCCTGAGGTAACATCTATTGCCCATCATCTTGTCTTTTTGCTGTGGAAGATTCACCCTGAGCTAATATCTGTTGCCAATCTTCCTCTGTTTGTATGTGAGCCACTGCAACAGCATGGCCACTGACAGATGAGTGATGTAGGTCTGCAGCCAGGAACCAAACCTGGGCTGCTGAAGTGGAGCACACAGAACTTATCCATTAGGCCACTGGGCCTGGCCCCAAAATTCTCTCTTTTTATGCTGTGATTTTGTTCCCAAATTGTAGTAGCTATAGTTGTTTATAATGCTCTTTTCCTTTAACCTTTATGATATAATTAAGTAGTCAATTTACTATTCTAAAATAAAGTAACAGTTTTCTAATTCTATTTATCACCTTAATCAGAGTTTTATGTACTTTCATATCTTCATTTCAGTTTGAAGAGCTCTTCTCAACATTTCTTATAAGGCATATCTAGTGGTGGTAAACTCCCTCAGCTTTTGTTTGGGAAAACCTTTATTTCTCCTTCATATCTGAAGGATAACTTTGCCAGATACAGTATTCTTGACTGGCAATTTTTATCTTTCCATACTTTGAATATGTCATTCTGTTCTCTCATGATCTATAGACTTTCTGCTGATATATCTGCTGAGACACTAACAGGGATTTCTTTGTAGGTTACTGTCTTTTTTCCCCAGCTGCCTTTAAAATGACTTGTCATTGACTTTGGACAGTTTTGATAGGTGTCTTGGGGAGGGTCTTTCTGCATTGAGATAATACAGTGTTCTATTAGCTTTGTGGATTTGTAGATCCAGTTCTTTCCCTAAATTTGGGAAGTTCTCAGCTATTATTTCTTTAAATAAGCTCTCTTCTCCTTTGTCCCTCTCTTCTCCGTCTGCTATACCTATAAATCTTATGTTGGCTCCTTAATGGAGTCTGATAGTTCTCATAGTGTTGCTTTACTTTTTTAAAGTCTTAATTCTCTCTCCTCTTCTACTCAAATCGTTTTTAAATTCCTACCCTCAAGGTTGCTTATTCTCTCTTCCATCCGATCTCCTCTTTTTCCAATGCTTTCTTCATCTCATTTTTTTGAGTTCTTCAGGTCCAGAATTTGTTTGGTTCTTAGAATTTCAATCTCTTTGGTAACATACTCCTTCTCTTCATTAATTTCATTCCTGAGTTCACTGAATTGCCTTTCCAAGTTTTTTTGTAGATCATTCAATTTCTTCATACCATTTATTTTTAATTATTTATCAGATTGCAATATTCCATGTCTTCTATGTTCAGTTGCTGGAAAATTGTCATTTTCTTTTTGTGAGGCCATATTACCATGATTTTTCCCAGTGCTTGATGAAATGTGCCTCTGCCATCACATTTGAAGTAGGGAACATCTTTCTTATTTAGGTAAGACATTGTTTACTTTGATTCTAACAGTTCAACAGGTTAGCAGGTAGGAGCCTTTCTTTTGTCTTCTAAATGGCAGTGCTATAGCAGAAGTTTTTTTTTTCTCTTACAGGAGCTGACTTGCTGCTGAGGTTGGGATCATGTACATAAAGGAGCTGGTAGGGAAAAGAAAAAGGTGGTAGAAGAGTTGGGAGATATGTGTGCTTAGCACTTAGGGCTTTGCGTAGTCCCACAGCCCAGTAGGGGGATCTTTGAGTCTGGAGGGTACCAGAGGTCCATGGGTGCAACTCTTGCTGGAATCCCAGGGCAGACAGCAGGAAATGTGTTCTTTCAGTTCTCTGTCTGCCTTTTCCCTGTCCTTTTTCTCCCCCAAGTCACAGAGATGTCTCTTCAGAAATGAAGGGTATTGTTGAAGAGCAATGGATGCCTTGCAGCTTCAGTCCACACAGCCTGGCAGACTTTTGCTCACCCTCTTTCACTTTCCACTTCCTCTGTTAGAAACGTTGCTACTGCCACTGCTGGTGCTGCTGCTTCCACAACCCCCTTGGCTCCATAGCCTCCTCGGAGGTCCTAGCCACCCACTTTTGGATGCACAGATGGATGGAGCTCTCAGGTGTCCTGTGCATAGGTGCTTTTGTTCGGTTATGGATGTCCAGTTGGTTGTAAATATAAGAGGAGGAAAAAAAAGGAGTGACCCTCCCACCATGATGCTGGCATCACTCTGGGTATTTATTTTTAAAATACCACTGTACATTCATTCTTCTTCAAAATGTGTATCTTGTTGGGCAAAGTGCCTGTAATATTCTAAGTTCATCAGAAAGACTGGTTTAAAGAAATCAGGTCAGTTCCTCAAACATCACCTCATCTTCAAGACATGGACCTTTTGGGCTGGGTGGCAAAGGGCACAGATGGGCTTTTCAAAGACAGGAGAGCTTCAATGTGGGTTGATATATGCTTACTTAATTGTGACAAATGATCTTTTGAAATTTTTGTGGCCTCCAAACTAGTCACTGGTTAATATTCCTCTCTTAGCCATGCCATTGACCTTTATCTGATACATCTGAGGGAGACAGAAGTCAAAGAGTGGCTACTAGTGTGCTTTGTAAAAAAAAAATCATATTTGTAAATAGAATATAAACCTATTCACAGGATAGCAATCACTATCTACTGTTAAAGAAAAATAAAGACAAATCTGAGCTCAGCTCAGCTCAGAACTGGTTAAGTTCACACGCTCAGCTTCAGCGGCCCAAGGCCTGCCAGTTCAGATCCCAGGCACGGACATACCCACTGCTTATCAAACCACACTGTGCAGGCATCCCATATAGAAAGTAGAGGAAGATTGGCACAGATGTTCGCTCAGAGCCAATCTTCCTCAGCAAAAAGAGGAGGATTGGCAGCGGATGTTAGCTCAGGGCTAATCTTCCTCAAAAAGAAAAAAAAGACAAATCTACTTCTAGTTGCTATAGTTGAATATTTGCTATCCTAGTCTGGTTCTATCTATTTGTCTCCCCACTCTGTGGTTTGTGACCCCCTTTCTCCCTTTTTTTCTTTTTTCAGGTATGAGAGCCTTCTTGAGGATTTCTTGTAGTGGAGGACTTTTGGTTACAAATTCCCTTAACTTTTGTTTGTCTGGAAAAGATTAAATTTCTCCCTCATATCTGAAGGATATTTTTGCTGGATAGAGTATTCTTGGCTGAAGATTTTTATCTTTTAAAGTTTTGAATATGTCATTCCATTCTCTCCTAGCTTGTAAGGTTTCTGTAGAGAAATCCACTGAAAGTCTGATAGGAGCTCCTTTGTAGGTTATTTTCTTCTGTCTTACTGCCCTGAGTATTCTTTGTCATTCATTTTTGCCATTTTTACTACTATATGCCTTGCAGTAGGTCTTTTTACATTGACAAATCTAGGAGGTCTGAAAGCTTCCTCCACACACATTTCTCCCTCAATCCCTAGATTTTGGAAGTTCTCTTCTATAATTTCATTAAGCACACTTTCTGCTCCTTTTCCACGCCCTCAGGAATTCCGATGATTCTTAAATTGGTTCTCTTCATTGAATCTGCTATTTCTGTGATATTTTCATCATTCTTTTTAATTTAGTTCTCGTTCTTCCTCTGTCTGGAGCCATTCAGCCTGTCTGTCTTCAATTATGCTAATTTTCTCCTCTATGGTGTCTACACGGGCATTCAGGCAATCCGTATTCTGTTTGATCTGTTGTATTTTTCATCTCTAGTATTTCTGACTGATTCTTCTTTATAGTTTCAATCTCTTTTGTGAAGTAACTCCAGAACTCGTTGACTTGTTTGTCTATATTTCCCTTTACCTCACTGAGTTTTTTGATGATAGCTACTCTGAACTCATTTTCACTTAGTTTACCTATTTCCAAGTCCTCAGGACTTAATTCTGTGTTTTTATTGTTTCCCTTCTGGTCTGGAGCTTTTATAAATTGCTGAATGGTAGAGGAGCGGTTTTTGCACATGATGGTAGTATTCGGTTGCAGTTACAGCCTGTAGCCACTAGATGGGGGTTGAGAGCCGTGCGTTCTGAGCCCTCAGCCTTCAGCTGTGATGGTGGGTGCCCAGCACAGGTTGGGGGTGAGGGCGTACTTTCTCTGACGCACCGACCTGGATTCCAATCAGCTCTCGCTCTCTGGTCTCCTGGGGCCCTGGCTTGATGGGGTCCCCACATGTGGAAGCTTTCCCCCATTAGCGGGTTTCCACTATACCTGCAGTGGGAGTCCTGGACGATCCCCCAGTTGCGTGGCCCCTCCCCCGCTCCTACCCTCACCCATGGCAGTGATCCCAGTCTCTAGGGGAGGGAGCAAAGTTCTCTCTTACCCCGTTCCAGCTCCTCTGAGGTCAGCTGCAGTGTCTCTGTTCTCTGTTGTCTGTCTTGCTGCTGTGGGTCTCTGACCATCTCTATTAGAGTTATTGGTTGAAATTCAGCTGTTCTGGTTCTTTGGTTGTAGTTTGGAGGGGAGAGTCCCCGGTCAGCTCAGCCCGCCATTTTGATGACATCACCTATTTTCCTGGCAATCCTCAAAATTCTAGCAGGTTTCTCCCCCTTTTCCATTCTTAAAACACCACAAAGAATCACAGTCCTAAAACCACTGGCCACACTGAGCAAGTAGGGCTGGTGCTTGAAAAACAAAATGAGTTTTAATAAATTTGCTCCAAAATATTTTATTAAAGGTTTTATATAAAAAACAAGAAAGGTATGTGTCACACTGAACAATGCATTGAAAGCATGTATATGCTTGAGGTTTTTAATTTCTCTACAAAATTAACCAGCCATGATAGAGTAAAGAGTTATAAAGAGTAAATATCATATTCATATCATTTTTGGGAACACTTAAAAGTACAAAAAGCATTATGCTAATTTTTAAGTGCAAAGAAAGCTCATAATAAAATAGACTTTAAAAATTACAAATAAAAATCTGTACATCAAGGATATTTTTAAGGCTTTTCCGTGTGCATAGCACTATGTAGAAAGAGAAGAGGAACTGCAGAGAGAGGAACCCTCACATCAGGTGTTACAGGTCTGGCCCATTTCAGCTTGCAGGACCATCTCCTCTTTTCTCAAGGGGAATGTGTCAATCAGGTTGAAGAGGGCCACAGGCATCACCAGGGAGACATAGCGTTCCTTGTCCATGCCATGCTTATCCACTAGCACCATACTGAAGGAATAGAGTGGGATTCGCAGCAACAGCCTAGGGCAGACAAAGAAAAAAGAGAAGACTATGTCAAACCTGACTCCCAAGGGTTCTAGCGGACCAATGCACACCCTATAGTGACACTGTATGCAGAGAAAGGCTTATACCACAAAGGACTGAATCATCCTTTAGACCCCTGCTACTGCTCAAAATGTGATCCTTGGACCATCAGCATCACATTGGAACCTGTTAGAAACGGAGAATGCCATGCTCTACCCTGACCTACTGAATTCAAATCTGCATTATTAGCAAGATCCCCAGATGACTGGGATGCACATTAAAGTTTGAATAGCACTGCCTTAGATTATAATGGTCAGGAAGACTTTAGGCCTGCAGTGGTGCTCTGTACCAGTAGTTGCTACAAGGCATGTACAGCAATGCTAACAAATTTTTTTGCATTAATTGGATTTAACCCAAGTTTGCAGACTAGGTTTGCACAACCACATAAACACTAGGTCAATGGTTATCAACAAAGGTGATTTTCCCCCAAGAGGAAATTTGGCTATGTCTGCACACATTTTTGGTTGTCAGACTGGGGAGGGAGGTGCTACTGGTCTCTAGTGGGAGAGGCTAGGAATGTTCCTTAACATCCTACAATGCACAGGACAGACCCCTCCCCCCTGCAAAAGAATTATCCATCCCCAAATGTCAATAGTACCAAAGTTGAGAAAGCCTGGACTAGGTGAAGCTGACTGAAATAACTTTCCAGACATTGTAGTTCTGGCCCATTCAGCAGCCAGCTCAGGACTGCACAGTTAGAGGGGACTGAACTTGGTTTACAGCTTAAGCATATTGACTGGGTTAATTATAATTTGTACCTTAAATAATTTCAGAAAGAATTACACATGGTTTCAAAAGTCTAATGTTCTTTTCTACTCTACCACATTAGAATTTAAACTGTGTAAAAACATGATTTTTATAACCATTCAAACATGTTTAGATGAAAAAAGCCAGAGAAAGCAAACAAACGAACAAGCTGAGCCCAGGAAAAAAAAAAAAATGAGCCTACCCAGTTTCTTCTCCAGATTTTGCTTTTTAGTTTAGATTTCTTGAGATTGTTGTGAGGCAGAATATACAGTGCCATCTGGATTTAAAGTGCAATATTTTTTCCTCACACAAATGGATCAAGGAAAAAAAATCATTACTCAAAATCCAAACTGACTATACTTTCTTCTGCCTTTTAAGAGTTTTAGGGAAGATGGGAATAATTTATATTTTATCCCAGTGGGAAGCAAAATTGTTAATCCATTCTATTGACTAGAAATAAAAGGAAAAAAAAGCATTACAATGTCTCCATCAGGTTTCCTGTGGTGCTAAAAGGGGTGCTCAGGAGCAGATGACTTGTAAATGAAGTGAGGTGAGAAGAGAGAGCTAAATTGCTCTGCAAGGAGTATTGAGAGGTTTTTTGGGGGTGGGGGAGAAGTCCTAGGACACAAGAGGGAGGTGTCCCAGCAAACAGAAGAGTAGAGAAGTATGCAAGTCTGGATGGAGAAAAGGGCCAAGCAACATTGTGGTGGCTGGAGCCTGTGGGAAAGGGTGACTAATGAGGAATTGGAGCATTTGATGTTATAGTGCTTATGGGGCTAGGATAGAAACCCCTCACGGTGCCACCATCTGCTACCACACACACTCTTCACGTGAACCTTGTGCCTTGATGGACACAGAATATAAAGGGGAAAACCGCCATGAGCAGAGATGAGTGGTCAGATCAGCAGACTAGCACAGACACAGGAATGCATCCCACCGTGGCCAAGAGACCACAGAAATCTTGGGGATGAATGATGGGACACTGCAGGAGGAGGCGTGGTGCCAGCCCTATGTTGGAGTTACATAAATGTCTGTCATCAGATTGGAATGACCTCCTCCTGGAGAATCTTCTAGAGAACTCTAGACTCAAATAATATTGGAAGTTCGGGTTCAAGATAGTGGTTTAGGAAGATCCTGAACTCACCTCCTCCCATGGTCACACTGAATCTACAACTACAGAGGGAACAATTTCCTCTGAAAAAAACCTAAAAAGTAGCTGAGCGACTCCTGCATATTGGGCGAGCTAGAAGGAAACCACATGGAAGTGGGTAGGAGAGGTTCACCAAATCCCCCCCACACACCTTCCCCTGGCACGATAACCCACCACCAGGAAAGAACTCAAAACCAGGAGCCTCTCTCTGCGAGACGAGCCCCCAAAACATCTAGCTTCAAAAACCAGTGGGGTTTGCAACAAGGGCTGCGACAAACTGGAAAACGGGGTAGAGGGCTCACGTGCAGCCTTGCTCACCCCAAGGCACAGCGCAAAAGCTGCTGTTTGAAAAGTGCCCAGACTTTGTGTGAAGGAGGCTCAGTGGATAATTAAAGCGTTGGACTGAGCAGCAGGGACCTGCAGGTGTACTCTCCGGGAAAGGAGGTTGGTGGGCACCATTTTCATGCTCTCCTTCTGTCTTGCTAAAACCAGTGGACGCCAGCTCTTTATTTTTCTTTCTATTTTTGCCAGTGGGTGCCATCTTCATGCTATCCTTCTCCCTTGCTAAACCAGTAGGTGTCATCTCTCTCTCTCGGTCTGTCTGTCTCTGCCTGTGTGATTCACCCTGCTCTTTCTCTTTTTCTCGATTTCTCGCACTCTGTCTTGCCCTGTCTCTCTCAGCCTCACCCTCTCTCTGTCTCCCTCTATTGCCTTGCTCTGTCTTTGTCTGTCTCTCTCATTCTGTCTGTCTTGATCTCTTGCTCTCTGTCTCTGTCTTTCTCTTTGTCTTTCTGTCTCCTGTCTCTGTCTTGCTCGCTGTCACTCTGTCTTTGTCTCTATCTGTCCTTGTCTGTCTGTGTCTCGCTCATTGCCTCTTTCTGTCCCTCTCTGTCCCTCTGTCTACTGTCTCTCTCTTGCTGTCTCTTCCTCTGTCCCTCTCTGTCTCTTTTTCTCACTCTATCATGCTCTCTCTGTCCCCCGTCTCTGTCTCCTATCTCTCTGCATGTCTCTGGCTCTCTGTCTCACTTTCTTTCTGTCCCTCTTAGTCTCTCTGTCGGCCTTTGTCTTGCTTTGTCCCTCTCCTGTCTCTGCATCCTGTCCCTCTCCGACTCTTTCTCTTTCCTGTCTCTTTGGCTTACTCTGTCTCTGTCTCCTGTGTGTCTGTCTCTGGCTCTCCGTCCCTTCATCACTCTTTGTCCTTCTCTGTCACTGTCTCCTGTCTCTGTGTTCTGTCTCTCTGTCTGTAAGTCTCTCTGTGTAAGTCTCTGTCTCTATTTCATCTCTTGCTCTCCTTTTTTCTTTCTGTCTCTGTCTCATGCCTCTCTCTCCTCCTGTCTCTTTCTCTGTCCCTCCTGTCTCTATCTTTGACTCTCAGTGTCTGTCCCTCTCACCCTTTTGCCCTCTCTGTCTCTCTCTCTTGCTCTGTCAGTCTGTCCCACTCTCTCTCATCTCTCCTCTGCGTCTCTGTCTGTCTCTCTTGCTCTGTCTCCTGTCTCTGTCTTGTTCTATCTCCTCTCTGTCTTTCCCTGTCTGCCTCTGTCTTTGTCACTCTGTCTCTAACCTGTATCTGTCTGTCTCCTCTCTCTCCTGCTCTCTCTCTCTCCTGTCTCATTCTGTCTCCTCTGTCTCTTGCCCTTGCTTTGTCTCTCTCTGTCCCAGTCTGCCTCTCTCTTGCTCTGTCTTTCAGTCTGCCTGTCTCTCCTCTGTCTGTCTCTGTCATTCTGGCTCTCCTCTCACTCTCTTCTCTCTGTCCCTCACTGTCTCTTTCTATGTCTGTCTGTCCTGCTCTCATGATCTCTCACCCTGTCTCAATCATTCTCTCCTGTCTCTGTCCCTCTCTCTGCCTGCCTCTATCTCTCCTGTCTGTCTCTGTCTCTCTTGCCCTTGCTCCGTCTGTCTCACTGTCTCCTATCTGTCTCCGTCTTTGTCTTGCTCTGTCTCTGTCTTGTTCTGTCTCCTCTCCTGCTGTCTCACCCTCTTTCCCTTGCTCTGTCTCTCTCCTGTCTCTCTTTGTCCCTCTCTGTCTCCTATCTCTCTTGCTCCCTCGGTTTCCTCTCCGTCCGTCTATTTCTCTCTCCTGTCTGCCTCTCTCTGTCCCTGGCTCTCTTCTGTCTCTTGCCTCACTCTCTTGCCCTCTATTTATGTGTCTCTGTCTTGCTGTCTTCCTCAGTCTTGCTCTGTCTCAGTCTCTCTCTCCTGTCTGTCTCTTGCCTTTGTCTCTGTCTCACTCTCTGTGTCTCACTCTGTCTCTGACTCTTTGTCTCTCTGTATCTCCTCTATCTACCCCCTGCCTTTCTCTGTCTCTTGCTCTTTTGCTCTTAGTCTCACTCTGCCTCTCTGTTTCTGTCTCTGTCTGTTGTCTGTGTCTTTCTCTGTGTGTGTTTCTCTCTGTCTGTCTCCTTTCTGTCTCTGTCTTTTTTTTTTTTTCATCAGTGGGTGCCATCTTCACACTCCCACACTGCCTCACTCTAGCTGGTGGCTCCATCTTCACACTCTCCCTCTGCCTTTCCTCAGCTCGCCAGTATCTTCCAGAAAGAAGCTTAAACCCTTGTGTGGCACCCTGATATGTGTGGCTGCTGCCAGGGGACATCTCTATATCACCTTGCTCTGGTGGCCAGTGGTGCTTATGCCCGTGGGCCCCACAGGACTGTAAGCAATGGAAGAAGTTTCCTTAAACTACCAACCTCAGAATACAGCAAGAAGCAACAGACCCAAGAGCTCAGTCTTTTGGTGAAAGAAGCCTATTAATTTATCATCATAGCTGCAGCCTGAGGGACAGGCTTCTAATGAAACACATCTGAGAGCTGACTATAAACCTTTCCAGAGACCTCAGAGGGCAGGTGCTATCACTGTGCTCCTCCTCTGTCATGCTCCTAAGTACCAGCATCTATTGGAGGGGAGGTGTTATACATGTCCAGTACCCCAGTTTTTGCAACTGCTGACCAGCAGATACCCCTTGATCATCTGGCTCTAGTGGCCAGGAGGGCTTGTATTCCTGGGTCCCCTGTGACTGTACCAATCTAAGAGACAGTTCTTGGCA